GGGAGTGGGAGGTGCAGCTCCCTCATGTTGGGCTTCCCGAAGTGGGGTGCCCAATGGGGCACCCGGGCGTGGAGCAACAGGGCGTGGTGCTCCTTGATGTCCAGGATGTGGAGCTCCTTGGGGTGCTATATGTTGTGCACCACCATGTGGTGCTCCACGTTGTGCACCTCCGTGTGGTGCTCCACCTTGGGGTCCTCCATGTTGTGCACCTCCGTGTGGTGCTCCTCCTTGTCCAGCAAGTATGAGTTGCAATAACTGTTGGTTTTGAGCAACCAGTTGCTGCATGGTCTCCAATATTTGTTGGGGATTCGGGGCTAGAGTATCCGGAACAGGGTTGATAGGCGGGGGAGCAACCTCCTCCTCTCGTGAAGGATTGTCTTCGTGTTGGTTCATGGATCGAGTAGTGATCGCCATTAGTTAATGGATGTAATGTTCAGGAGTGAGAATTTTGTCGATTTTTCACAGACGGCGCCAAACTGATGATGCACAAAAATGGTTTTGCACACCACCTGTCAAATGTATGTAATAAATGCAATGAAATCAATGAGAAAATTAAAGAAGACACAATTTATAGTGGTTCGGTCAATTCGACCTACGTCCACTCTTCAATGGCTTCAGTTACCGGGTATTTTATTGATTCAAAGGTATGGAGAATAGAGATACAAGCTTTGAGAGAGAGAATGGAGAATCAAAGAAGTAGTAATCTCCGGTAGTCGGTTCGTCCTCTGTAAGTCTTGGTGGGGCGTGACATTCATCTTCCTCTTCTACCAGATTGGAGTTATTTTATAGCAGCTAAGAGATTATTCTTGGTGGAGATCACGACTTATCCTCAAGGCTTCTTTATCGCAACTAAGAGATTATTCTTGGTGGAGATCACGACTTATCCTCAACGGAAGGAGGAGATTGGGGAGCTCTTCATGAAACGTGGTCAAAGATTGGACCGTTTCCTTCGGTGGTGCGGATAAGCTTCCCATGCTCTCCTCTTGATGACGTGCTAAGCAAAAAGTCTAACCGGTCTTGGACTGTCTTGGACTTGGTGGATTTGGACCGTTTCCTTTGGTGGTGCGGATAAGCTTCCCATGTTTTCCTCTTGGTGACGTGCTAAGCAAAAAGTCTAACCGGTCTTGGACTGTCTTGGACTTGGTGGAATCAAAATTAGGTTGGGCTCCTCAACTGGGGTTGGATTTTAACACATAAATTGGACTATTTGGGCTTAACCCATCAGAACTGTTAAAGTTGTATCAATTTTCCTCATTCCTTATCTACTGAATTTCATAAAGGCAATCGACGCCAAAGAAATAGAAAAATGCTGCACAAATGAACAATTGATCATTCCAGTAAAAAAAAATTACATATGATGATACCTCAAAATAAATCTCAACTGCCAGCTCAGGAGGTCAGCTCAGCCCAGGAGGTCAGACTAGACAAACAGAACTCGGAAGAGTAGAGCTGGAGGTTCCTTCGAGATAAGCAAGGGCAATAACAAACAACAGCTGGATAACCTCGAAAAGTTCCTAAAACGTTAAGAAGCTAAAATCAAGGCACCTAATCTCAACCAACCAAGATCTTCTCCTAGAATTAGTGAGAACCCCACAAAATAAGGGCTAAAATCTCGGCCAAGATTCCACTTAGTAGGAAATGGCACTATAAATGCAATATAACACCTCCTAACAATGGAGAGGACCCTAGTGACAATAGGAAGTCATAGCAGCTTTGTAATCATCGTGAATAAAACAGAAGAAACAAGAACCTCCATTGAAGAGTGGACTAGCCGAGTTCCTAAGCCGGTGAACCACTATATTTTTACTGTATGCACCCCTTCAATCGTATGAATATTCTATCGGTTAGCATCATACACGAGCCTCGTAACTCTAATCTACGTTCACCCCGCATTACTTTCATCTTAAACTCTTCCACATTGGTAAACGCTATCAACATAGAACAATAAAACTAAATCAAATTAAGAGAACTGACCAAGAGATAAGAAAGGGCTCATCTAGATTGTTGAAAACATTGATGATTAAGTTCTCATTTGTCACAGACAGGATGGGTGGCCCAGGAAACTGTCCATTTATCAATATCCCCTGCAATACAGTTCAATTATAACACATATGCATATCAGTCTCACTACACACAAATACACATACACATACATATACATATACATATACATATACATATACATACGGAGACTGGGCACGGTACCGATATGTATAACTATTAGGAGTTTTTATACAATTTTTGTGATTTTTTAGGTTGAATTCCAAGCACCCAAAAAGTTATAATATGCCCTCAAAAAAACTATAACTTGAATTCCAAAAATTGTAGCATGACCCCAAAACTTTATATGTTAACCTACAAAGTTATAAACTTCGAAATCCATGTCAAATCCTGTACATATATATAGGTATAGTTCTGGATCCTCTGCTGTCTGCTAGGAAAAGTGTTGTTCTTTAAAACAACATCGTTTCACACCAAATTGATGTCGTTATATTTAATAAAATGATATCGTTTTGGTGTTAAACGGCATCATTTTCAACAACAGTACCCCTGCCGAGGATCCGGATCCAGTTTAAAGACCAAAGGAAATTCTAGTGAGTAACAAATAACAAAGAACATAAGCAAAGGAGAAGAAGAAAGGGAAAACCAACCTGTTGCTTGATACCAAGAGGGTAGATATAACCAGAAGTGATATTCCATGTGAAGAATCTGTAAGGGTCTTCCCCACTAATGATCTTTAATATGGAGAAGAGGATCACAAACAGAGACCAAAAACTCCTCTTGTTCTCCACTATTCTTCCCATGTCTGACATCTAAAGAACCACAACCACCTTTGCAGGTTGGTATGTAATGGGAGATCAATAAGAACCCAGGCACCTCTCTCTCTCTCTCTCTCTCTCCTTTTTCACTTTTGTTCTTTTTCTTTTGGTTTTAAGTAGCTTTTATGAGTCGGTGATGAGTAATGAAGAGTTTAGAAGATAATCAAAAGCTTAGTTGTCTTCGAACTGCGTGTTGCTGTATGAGCTGTGACCTTTTCCCAACTCGTAAAGCAGAGAGCTCCCATTGGTGTGAGCAGTAAGCTGTTCTCTGAATTCTGTCTCAGGGTCCGAGCAGTCTCAATCTCACAGAGTCTGTGTATGGAGACTTTTTCTTGCTCTTTAATAGCATTGCTCTTTTAATAATTACATTAGATTATTGTATTCAACAAAGCTTTCTTAAGAGGCTAGCAGATGGCCCGCACCATTATTAAAGTCCCGGGAGAGACAACGAGCTTTGTTAAGAAATACTCGCATATGTTTGATATTTCTCGCTTGAGAGGAGGAATTGGTTTTTTATTTTTTTTTTATACAGCCCCGAGTTCAGGAATTGCATTAAAAGGCCTAGGTAGAGATTGAAATCATTTTTTTCAATCTTTCTTGCTGAAATAGTGTTTACCAAACACAACGGTTGAAAGTGTGTTTAACAAACACGAGTCTGAAAAATAAGTTTAGAATCTATTGAATGAGAGTTTGGGTTTTGATAAATAAACATATTCACATTTGTCAGATCAACAACTATCAAGCCCTGTAACAGGGCAACGCACAATCTGAAAACAAGATGCACTAGTCATTCATTGTGAAGTACCTCCTCCACGATTCGTATACTTTTCAAGAACAAATCATTCCAAGAATAATCAAAATCATCTGATTGTGAAATAAAGTGATGAAGAGAACACAATAGTAATCAGTAATTAACATGATATGATGAATACTAATACGGTTACAAATAAGTACGAAACAGTTGCCCGCAAAAAAATGAAAAAGAGAAGCTCAAGTTAAGCTGCCTCGATATCTTCAGAAAACCAGTCACCCCTTCGTGACTTTTAAGAAATTGTTCACTTTTATAGAGGTCGAGTTTTACGACCAGAAGCCCGTCCACAGAGAAGAGCATTCTTTGGGATGGGATATTCGTCTCTCCACGAATTTGCTGGGGAATAAACACGAAGATAGAACTGTTGACCTAAGTATTGGCGAACCCAATTTGCAGATCTAATGTTCCACATTCCAACGTTGTCCAAAGGCATGTACAGTGCAGTCCATGACTTGGGATACACCTGCATGAATAACCAAAAATGGCAAAATAATCAGGCTCAACCGGTGAAACATAATCAAAAAACTGTGGATTGGTAGTTCAATGGGATTTAAAGAGGTAACATGAATGATCTGATTAATGCAAAGCTCGAGAATTTACAAGCTAGTGAAATAATTCACAAACTATCGACTTGCACAAGTGTAAGCCTGGTTTAAGATTTCTAAAGAGGTTGGATATCAGTTCAGGAAGCTGAAGATCTCAAGGGTTGGACTACTTTTTTTCATTAATGTACCTGAATTGTGCTACGAGAAATTCCATCTCTTAAGTTGTAACTTAATCTGCTTGAAGATGACCACTGTCCTCCATCCATCCTGTTCATCCACAACAATAACAATCTCATAAAAATTTGAATATATAATGATATCCAAGTCCTCTCCACGGTCAATTTTGCAAGCTATGATTAGGGGCCACAACATCCGGGGATAATATAGTGGACGAAGCAAAATGAGCTGTGTAAATATAGTACTTTCACATAATGTTGAGCAAAAAGAGACTTACCCTACAACAAAGAAGATGTGGCCATCAATGTGCCATGACTGCACAGTATCCTCTGAGTTTTCAAACACAACCTCAACAAAGCCTCTAAAATCAGCAGCCATGACAGAAGTCTGAAGGTAACCGCCACCACCAGTGGGGTTGTCTGGGATGCTACCGAGGTTGAAGACCCCCGAAATACTGAAGTAGTCAGCCAGTTTAAGTGGTGTATCTGCTGGGATGAATGACACGCTATTGACTGCATACCTCTGCTTGCCATTGATGATGGGAGCAGAGTTTGCAAGCCTAATTGTTCGGGTGGTGTTAACCAATCCATAGTGATAAGAGCCTTGGGGATTAGGTCTTGGACCGCTAGCTGTTAAATTTTGCCTGGTTTGATAAATAGAACCACATTAAGAGACATCAAGAGAATCCTAGAAGCATCACAAACAGAAGATTGAATCGATGATGGTAATTCCTGGTAGTTGTGGACAATACTCAAAAATCAACATGCAAACGAGCCCTTTCACAACGTTTTTCTACCATTTGGCACAAGTTTCTGGTTTTGGGATAGCCACTAAACGAATCTATTTAAATACAGATATTTGGAGTTTTACATGAACTGTCATCTTTAGGATAAATAAAAAAATTTAACAAGTTTTTTCAGTTATGGTGTCAATTAATCTCTATCAACTAATTTCTTTGCAGTATATGCATTATTCAAAGAAAATGAGACCAGAACACACCTAATAGATCGGGCTTGATTAAGAGACCAGTCAATCTCAGTGGTTGGTCCACCGGGGGGAAGACCAGGAACACTTCCTCCTGAGTTACTGTATTTAAGGACAGAGGTAGCTGTGAGCACTTGAGATGTAAAACGGGTTGAAACGACTATACTGTAAGCCTTTGCAGGTTGGTCAGCTGTTAACAAGATAGAGACAGACTGCCCCAGATGGATATCAAAGGAATCATATGTGTTCTGCAATGTGTGAGTCCCTTCTACTTCAACCAGCAGCATCTTGTGACCCTCGATCCTAAAATTGAAGGAAGTTGTAAGCCCAACATTTGATATCCTGAACCTATAAGTCTTGCCTGGCCAACAAATTTTACTCCTGTGAGATTATAAAAACATCATAGCATACATATGAAATGTGTAACACCATAACCACGAAAATTAAATTAGTTACCTTGATCAACTGTGAAGGTGTAACCATTTGAACCACGACCATTTATAAGAAGACCATCAGGGAAGGGAAGATCATGTCCACTATCCAAAATTGCTTTTAAATCCTGTGAGATCCAACATGTGCCCATCACGAAAATCAGACTCACATAGACACATACTGCATTATCAGCTAAGCAGTTAATGCACTGAAGGGAGTACATGTCATTTCTTGTATTGATTTTTTGAATCTGTGGTAGGAAAGCTACTTACAGTGTGATTTTGCTTAAACCAGTCCCCGGCCAGTATGGTGAAATCTCCTGCAGGTGGAGGGAATGGAACGGGAATCACAGAGCGACTGGAGATTTTGATGCCACCGAACCCTCCTGCAGCTTTGTGGAAAGCCAGGGAGGGGAAGTAGAAAAAGCTACCAATCTGGTCTTTGACTTGGAGGACGTAAGTGAAGTTTTGCCCTGGTGGGATGGGACAGTTGGTGCCATAGACTCCATCCTGCCATGAGTTCCTTCTCTGCTGCACACCATTCCTATTCAATAATCACAAGACTTCACTATTAATAGGACAGTTAAATTTTGTTAAAACTACATTAACACTTTACCAACGAAGTTAACCTAGCATTTTCATATGTCTATCACCTGAGAAACACCCAAAACATTACTAGTCCAATCACCTGTTACCCAAGATCAAACATTGCTAGTCCAGTCATCTGGTAGACTTGGAATTCATTTTGATCGTTGTTTTTTTTCTTATCAACATGATTTCATTTTGTTAATGACCAAGATTATTTGATCGAGTATTGTAAACCACATCAAGAACTCTGAGGCAGGCCTCATGGTGGGTGGTTGCAGTTATCCGCCAGGAAAGGTCCAAACTGATCCTGTCTCCCAGAGATTTTTCGTTAAAAATAGAAAATTTATGTATTCTATGCCATTGTGTGCTATTCATCAAAGCCAAATTTAACACGAATGACCAAACAAGCATCTCCATGGCGTGCTACGTATGACTGTTGACAGAGGAAAGATAGATAAAGTGTTCTAAAGTTAGGTTAAGTTGATACTTTAAATACACTAACTACAATAAATAGATTCAACGAACTATGCGAAGCTAAGTGATATTGTAAAATATGTTACCATTACAAAACCCAATGCAGCCTTTGTGGCTGTAACTTCTTTTTTCTGTGATGTCAAGAAAAATTGAATAGTTGGGTTGGTGTTGTGTTTAAACCGAGTTTGTATTAACCCATTTAGTCAATAATTCTAGCATCTCCAAGCTCCAACCCGACTTAAAGTGTCATAGCCTCGTTAAAAAAATATATAAGCAGATCAAATATTTATTAAATCAAACCAAATTAAACCTTATCCACGGGGGTCGATTTTTTTAAAGTGGATCCAACAAAATTTAATACGCCCTGGCGACTACATAACGTTCCTCTTCTCTTTTATCCGGTCGAAATAATATATATATAAGAAAAAAAGTCCTTACCAGGAGAGAAGAAATGGCTCGTCCAAACTGTTGAAAACACTGATAATGAGATTGTCATTGGTCACAGAATCAATCTGTGGCCCCGGGAACTGTCCATTTATCAAAATCCCCTGCCATTCAATTCCACAATTCCTGTTAATCACCTCTAAAACTCTTGATTCCAAAACGTAAATCAACACCAAACTTCGAAAAAACAAAGAGATTAAAAAAAGAAGAAAAAAAAAGAGTAGGGAAATGGGAAAAAAGAAAAAAGGAAAACAATACCTGTTGTTTCACACCAAAAGGGTAGATATCACCATAAGTCACATTCCAAGTAAAGAACACATATGCATCTTCCCCATTGATGCAGTCTATTAGTAAGCAGAGCACCACCAACAGAGGCCACACACCCTTCATCTCTCTCTCTCTCTCTCTCTCTCTCTCTCTCTCTCTCTCTCTCTCTCTCTCTCCCCAGTGAAGAAAGATTATAACTTTACACAAAATCGAAACAAATGATCGAAATGTGAACGGAGATCTATCGCACAGAACTCTCTCTCTCTCCCGTGAAGAAAGATAATAACTTTACACAAAAATGGAAACAAATGATTGCAATGTGAACAGAGATCTATCACACAGACCTCTCTCTTCTCTCTTCTCTCTCTCTTCTCTCTTCTCTCTTCTCTCCTGTCCCTATTTGGTTTTGCTTTCTCTGCTTTTCCTTTATCTGCTGAATAGCTGGGACCTTTTTATCTCTAAACTAGTGAAGCGATTAGGAGACACTGAAATGCTTAGATCCATGTGAAGGTCGCGTTTTGTGTAGTGAGATGTGGTGTGTTTTTCTGTAAGCAGAGCAGACACCCATGTCCAGTATGAGCTGTATAAAAGAATTGAAAAAACAGAGGGAGGGTACAGTAATGTTGTCAAATCACAAAATATTAAATAGAGAAAATTATACTTAAACCTCCTTTAGTACACATCTGGTCTCACTTTTTCCCCTACAACAACCATTTTCTCGATTTACAAGTTAAACTATTGGTTTAAGTTTCACGTCGTCTCAATCATTGATTTTCGTCTAATTTATTCTGGCGAATCACAACTAAAAACAAAATTTTGTGCAATTAAGGAGGCAAAGACATACCACTTACCATTATGGGATCTCATTTTTTGCCCAAATTAACTCAATGAATTTGGGGTAAAAGCTATCGAGATAATTTGAAACCCAAACAATGTGCAAAGTGCAATACTAGAAAGTGAATAGTTTGGAGGGAAAAAAATGAAATAAGAGGTATAGTAGAGGAGATATGAGTGTAATTTTCTCTACTAAATACTACTCAACTCAGGTTTGCTGAAATTGTGGACTTATCATCCTTGGTATTTTGCATCGATGGAAAGTCAATAAACATTACTACTTTTGGGAAAATGGAAAGTAAAATTTATTAGTTGTTAATGTGAACATTGGAGTATGGTGTAGACTGGTGTTCCATGCGTGATTGGTTGTAAATCATTGGATCTACTCTGTTGGTCACTCTTGACTTTTTAAAATGAGAGATTTGGGGGGTCATTTTGAATCAATAAAAGGATTAATCTATTCCACTCCTCTTTGGTATTCTGTTCTACCCTCTATCTCGGGTCTCTCTTCGATCTTTCTTTGGATATTTTCTCATTTGCTTGTAATGTATGATTAATTGTAGCAAATATTCCTCTTTGGGTATTTACTCATTTGTTCATGATGTAGATTAATTAAATGTAATATTATTGTTTGAATTACATGTTGCATATTAAAATAGTAACTTAGGTTGTTCAAGTCGTCATAGAACAGATCTATTTGGAGCTAACTTAAAATTTTAATTTTTTTTTTCAAAGGAAAAAAAGTTCAATCCATTTGGACTCAGGCTTATTAAGTGGTTTTTTCATCAGCTTTTATTAGTATTAAGTTAGGTTTATCTAAGGACTTTCAAAAAAAGTTGACAGTTCGAAGATTTTTTTTTAATTTTAATTTTTTTATTTTACTTTTCAAATTTCTATTTTATGCCAAAAAAACTCTAAATGGGTTATGCTTTTTCCATAAAAGAAATTTTTTCATAGTCAATGATGCATGTTACATAGGTTATGCTAATTTTATAATCACCGAACATTTTGATAATGTGTTATTTAAAGATCTTTGACTTCATAATTTTCAGTGCAAATCAAAGGGACAAGAGTATGTGTTAAATTTTACACTGAGATATCTTATAGAAGACACTAACATAGATTATCATATAAAAAAATAGGGAAATTTGGGGTCACACCCTATGAATGGTCACATCTTCATCAAATAATGTTTTGGATTAATTGTTTTTTACTTTCCTATGATTTTGGTTATAAACGGTTATCTACTTGACGTTTAAAAGTTATACACATTACTCCTTATAGTTATGTATTTAAATTGAAACAATTTTTTTTTATCATCTAAGTTAACAAAAAGTGTGATTTACACAATTAGAACATATTGTAGACTTTGTTTCTATTATTTCCCTTCAAAAGAATATTGTCTAAATTCTTAAAATACCCTTTAAATAATATATGGTATACTCAAATAGGTAGGATATCGGTCTCAAATCAAAAAATATGTAAGAAAAACATAGGTAATTTTCGGTTCTGAATCAAAACTCTCACTTGAGCGAAAATGAAACTCTACGTATTTAATTGAAATGTGTTGATTTTTTATCATGTTTCATTAGTTTTATGGTCAAAAGTAAATTAAACGAAAAACTAATTTTAAAAATATAGGTATTATGGGGATGAGATTGACTAGATGAGACAGCTGATACCGAATTACCGCTTGCATATTTAGTCATTCTAAATCTTTAGGTGTCCTTTCCATCTTTAAAATTTTTTGAAAGATGATTGGGGTGAGAGAGTGCTTTAGAGCAATAAAATATAGTAAAATAATATACACATAATTTTAAACAATCAGGTATTTTTAGCCAAAATTATAGGGTAAAAAATAATTAATCCTAATTTTTTTTATCAAATTTAAATCCAATTTAAACTCCATAAATTGAGATCCGTTTAGACTAGCTAGGATAAGACAAAGTTCTTCCTTAATCGGAGGAGGAAATTACGTAGATGATCAAAGGATACATTTGAAGCCGATTGACTATAAATAGAAAAAAAAGACAACCAAACGTTGTCATCACCAAGTGAAATAGACTCCAAGCAAAACACACATACACATGTACACCTCATTTTTATAAAGATAATTTACTCATTTTGTTAAGTACTTTCACTTAAAACCTATGATAAAGAACATTCTTGGCCTCTAAAAAGTATCGAAAGTTTTTAAAGTCATTTTATCAAAAACTTAGGGGGTGTTAGTGAAATTTACACATTTATGTACCCGTATTGTCCCAATCAATGCACGAAGACCGTCTTTTATGGGAACGTGTGTAAGAGGAATAAATAAGTGTGGTGAGGCCACGTCACGTCATTACTGTCACGTAAATTATCAATTAATTACAAAATAATAAATAAAATTAGTAAAACACATTATTTTAACATTAATAATAATTATTGATAATTAAAAAAATAAAAGAATTCACTAAATTTATTTGATATTTTATTATTAATTTATGATGTCACATAACGTTAATTAATATGACAGACGGGTGTTGACCGTTGATACGATGAACAAAGCAATGATTAAGGTTTCATCGTCAGTTTAATTATCAAAGATGTCGGTGAGGTTATTGTTATTTAATTTAAAAATCTAAAGTAAAGGACTTCTAAACATGCAAATCAAGACCGCGTTCACAGCTGGCTTTTACTCTCACGCGTCTCCTCCAATCAATAGTCAATACTGCCATGCTGTGCAAGACTTATACCAAATTTCTTTTCCCAACTTAATCAAGGTTGTGGGGCCAGCTTATTTTCCTCTCTCCCATCCTCCAATCAATACTGCTAAGTCCATTGACTGAGAGAATATGACTAAAGTTCCGCCAACTGGGTGCAACTCGGGGCGGATTGGATAATTTGGATAATCAATTTTAGTTTAATTTTAAGTATATAATTTTTAAATTTAATTTTAATCTTAATTTTAACCTTAACTCTAATCCTATCTTGGGTTGGATAACTCAACTCAAACACTGTCTGAATTTAATTCGGACGGGCTCGGGTTGTATTCGGATTATTTTACGGGTTCAATTCGGATAGAGTCTAAAATAGACTTGTTGTTCTAAACTTAATACATATATTACATAATATTCACCTAAATTAACAATCAATAACTTCAACTAAATTTTTAACGAGAGAGGCTGAGAGACTGAGAAAGGCAAAGAGAACAAGAGAGACGGAGAATGATAGAACAAAAATGAAAAATCAATGCTAATGCTCTTTTTATATATAATTTTTTTTTTAATTTGTCGGGTTCGGGTTGAACACAGGTTCACGAGAACTTAACCCGAGCCCAACCCAAATTAAATTCGAATTTGAGTTTTTTGACTCAAGTTTAATCCAAATATTAAAAATTCTTATCCAAGTTTTAATTTTTTCGGGTCGGAGTTAACTTAAAATTGAGTTATCCAACCCAAGTTGCACCCCCACTGCTTGTAATTTTTTTTTTTTTTTGGGCCAGAACTGCTTATAAATTGGATCTCTTCCATCTTTCTCTCTCTCTCTCTGGGGTCTTCCCAAGTCTCTTCATTGTCTTCGCTTTTTTTTTTTTTTTTAAAATATGGGGGGAATTTTTGACATGTTCTCAGTGAAATAGAAGTGCCTTAGGTGCACAGACTCGTGAGTTGGATTAAAATCAAAGATAAATTTTTGATGCATGAACTGATTTTTAAATTTATACATCATTTAAATTAGAACTTGTGTTTCGATAAAAATTTAAATTTAAACTAGAAACTTTAATACAGTTCGTTCAAATAATCGAGATTCATCTTATCAATTAATTATACTTTTTGTCGAAAACTTAAACACTTGACCTAATGTTCTCCCTAAACAACACGCACACTCTCTCTCTCTTCTCTATCATCACTCTCAAGGACATAGCCACTAGTGGGCAATGGATTGAATTCCAGAGTTAAAAAAAAAAATTTATTAATATGATATATGTATTATATATTTATATAATATATTATGTGTGCCCCTCATTTATATTAGACCCACAGTATTTATCCAAAAAAATTAAAAAATTTAACCCATTTGAAACAAAAATATTGAACCTAATATTATCTAGCCAAACTTATTAAAATCTATCCAAACCTATTACAAAAAATTTTGACCAAACATTAAAAAAATAAAATTTTTGAGCCAACATTAAAATCAAAATTTTTGGATCATTAGTGGGCTATATTTATGAGTTTACATTTATATTTTGTTAATCGTATGAATACTTAGTTTAGCCCGATATAAACAAAATTCTAATTAATCTGGAA